GCCGCCGCCGCCGCCATGAGCCTGGGCCCCATGGGCTCGGTGGTGAAGTCAGAGCCCAGCTCGCCGCCGCCCGCCATCGCGTCGCACTCGCAGCGCGCGTGCCTCGGTGATCTGCGCGACATGATCAGTATGTACCTGCCGCCCGGCGGGGACGCGGCCGACGCCTCGTCGCCGCTGCCCGGCGGCCGCCTGCACGGCGTGCACCAGCACTACCAGGGAGCCGGGACTACGGTCAATGGCACGGTGCCGCTGACCCACATCTGAGCGCGCCGCCCGCACGCCCGCACCCCCGGGCGGCACGCCTTGTGTTTAGCTTTGCTTGCCTGGGACTGTTGCCTTGTACTGATGTCGGGGAGGACCGAAAGTTTGGCTGTAGCTGTCGGGTTTTGTACAAAAGCCAAGAGAAGTCGGGGGCAGCGGCCACGGGGCTTTCTAGAACTCGCCCGCCCTGCCGTTGCCCTCCTCCCTTTGTAGGCTGGGATCGCTGTGATAATTGCCAAGAAACAGCAGCCCTCTCCCCCTCCCGGGGCTGGGGGGTCTTTCTGTTGCATTTGAAAATGTTGTCTTAGTTTGCTGTTAGCCGAGGAGTGAGTGGGAGGGACGGGCTCCGAGCGAGGCAGGCCCCGGGACGGCACCGCCCCTCCCCTGGTCGCGCCGCCTCCGTGGTCGCGGTGGGATCCCGAGGTCGGCCGCGCGAGCGGCTCCGCAGCGAAGGCCACTGTTAATTTATAGCCAGGTGTGCGTTTGTCCCCTGCCTCGCCGCCCCGTACCGCGGGGCCGCTTCTGTCCAGTTCGCATTTAGGCTGATGAGCTGGTGATTTTGCCGTGATCTGTTTGCTGTTTTGTCGCGCCAGAAGCGAATGTGTTCGGATTTCGTTTGGGTAGTGGGGAGGGAGCTATTTTGTGTCAGGTTTTTAAAGATTTTACTCTGAATTCCTAAATGAGAGATCAATAAATTTTATAACCAATTTGATGGAGTCCTGCTAATTTCGCGGCCCTAGAACTAGGTGCGGGTTGGGGAGGGGGTCGGCGCTCGCTTTTATAACCGGGGACCTGAGTTTTATAATCGGGGGCGGGAAGGGGCCCGAGGGGGAGGCGAGCGCCATAGGATTTTTTTTCTTTCTTTCTTTCTTTTTAACTTTCGGTGACGCAAAACACAGCAGCTGCCACTCTCCTCCACGGAAACTCGGAGGAGAAAGCGAGTTGTCTTGCAGAGGAGGGTCTGCGGGAAGCGGGCACACACTCGCACAGTGGAGCACTCGCCGCAGCCGCACACTTGTTGATTGCGGTTAGCGTCTCCTGAAGGGGTGTCTGCTGCAGCAGCCATGCGGGGCGGGCTGGGGACGCCGGCGGCCGCGGAAGCGGCCCCAAAAGGGGCACCTTTACCTCTGTGTACTGGGGCAGGAAGACACTGGAACGGGGCTGAAGTATTTACAAAACGAAAACCCTTGGGAAAGTCTCAATTGTCCTGTTAAAAATGGTTCCAGGGCTCTCTAGCCGGAAAGATATCTATTGCAATCCTGGTGGCTGAAACGACAGGGCTACCACCACTTAACACTGGAAGGTTTGGTTTTAAAAAGTACATCTTAGATTTCCAAAGATCTGGAACTTGTCCGAAATTGTGTTTTCTTTTTTAACTTGTCAACCCAGTCCATTTACTTTGTGTTTTCTAGAACCTGGAGTCCGCTCTCTACTTTTGTATTCCCCACTTTCGCCCAGCCCCTGACCCTGGAGCATTGCTCTGTGCCCCCCCCCCGCCCCCTAGGGCCCTTCCTTTCGCGCCCAGCCACACGGCCCCAGCGTATCTGTTTGGGGCCTAGAAAGAAAACAAATAGAAGCAGTGTATTTTTACCCCCTCCTCAGTTGTTTGAGGTGATTTCCTTAATCCGGCTAATCCTGTTACCTCGCTATCCCAGAATCGGTAAACTCGGCCTTTCCAATAAGATTGGCCTGGTGCGGGGTTTTGATCCTCATCCACTCCTGACCCTGGACGACAGATTCTCCCCTAAATTGGGACGAATTCCACGTTGCCGGCGGCTTTCTTTGTGCGGGCCAGCCTTCCACCTGCGGGCAGGGCCGGGGCGGGCCTCGGGGGAGGAGCGGGGGCTTCTGCGGCCTCGGGGGTCGGGCCCGCTTTTACACATCACTGGGGATCCTGGCGGCTGAACCCACCCCGCCTCTCCGAGAAGGTCGGGTCTCCTTGGGAAGGCAGCGCCCTCCACCCCCCGCACCCCTCCACCCCCCTCACCCCTCCACCCCCCTCACCCCGCCCCCGACGGTGCTGCAGGGGGAAGGGGACCAGGGGTGATTTACAGACCCAGCGCCTGGCCCTCCACCTGGGGCTCCTCACCGCAGCACTCCCCCCTCGCTCCCCATCCCAGGGCTACTGACCTCGGCCCCTTCGGGCAGCTCGCTGCTTCCACCCTTGCTACTACGATTGGAGCCAACACACAGGCTGCCAGGCCGGTGAGCCCCACCCCCGGGGGTCCCAGAGTCCCAGGGGCGGAAGAAGACTCTCGTCATATCCACCCCCCCCCCCCCATTTAATCTTTATTCACACTGTTGGGGTCTCAATAAAATACCTGCTCTAGGTTACTCTGGGTTTCCAGTTGCCAGCAATCGTGGACTCGGGTTTGGTCTGAAAGGACTCTAGGCCACGGAGGGTCCAAACCAGCAACTGCCGGACTCTGAGTGAGCTGTGCAAACGGGGATAAACGGACACCGCTTCTTTCCTAGAGTCCACTGTGGCTCAGCCGCCTTAGAAGTGCCAGGGTCACCCGTTCAGCGTGTCTCACGGCTGCTCACTCCCTCTCTAAACATACAGCATTTGCGCTGCACTTTGATTTCTAAATTGCCTTTAAGAAAAAAGATTTCATCAGTCAGCACATTTGGAGGATTTAAATACAGATGAAAGTTTGGTGGTTTGTTTAACTTCAGCAATAGGGAAGAAAACCGAATTGAACTGAAATGAAACTTCGATCCCCTAGGCCAGAGTTTTCAAACCGGAGCGCCCCACGCCCCCTCCCGACACTTCTACCAGGACAACGGCGCCTTAAGCTGTTTTCTAGGTCCGGGCTCTGGTCAGGTTGAATGTGAAATGAGGGTTCTGCTGCTTAAACAACAACGATAACAAAATCTGATCACATCCCAACTCTCCCGCCTCCTCTGGCTTGTTTTACATAGGAGGAAACGGCTGGGAAAGGGGAAATGACGGTGCTCAAGGTCGCAGAGCTGGTTCTCCCGCGGCCAAGCAGAACCGGGCCCCAGGCCGGGGAGTGCGCTCTCAGATCTACCACAAAACGAAGAGAGAGACCGGGGACATCACAACCCCAGCTGCCTCTCAAGCCCGTAATCGAGCGGGGTCTCTAGAGAAAAAAGGTAACTCTTGACACGGAGACCCCAAGTAGCTGCCGCGTGGCGAATGGCGATGTGATGTGGGAAGCACCAAGTCCCGACCTGGGGGAAAAACACTAGCCCATCTTTTAGCCTCCCCCGACTGGAGCAGAGCTGCCTTTTGGTGGGAATTAGACTACACAGAGATTTACTTTGCTGTCCTCCGTCTATGCGACTTCCCTCATTAATCCCTCTTCTAGAAAGCTATTGGGGGAGGGGGATCCAAAATGCAAGCGCAGATTTATCAACAAAGATGTTCATTACATCCTTCCTTCTAAAGGTAGAAAGTTACAAACAACCCAAATGCCCAACAAATGGGAAAAGGTCAAGTAAAATACGGTGAAAAAAGACTACCTTGCAGATGTTAAAATTATGTGGACGGAGAGGTTTTAATGACACAAGGAAAAGCTTAAAACAAAATGAAAACAGCAGGATGCACAGAACTGTATTCAGTATATGACCTTGACTGTTTAAAAAGAAGTATATATGTCAGGAGGAATATGCAAAACATGCGGGGTGATATTTTGAATTCTAGTTAGTCTTATTTTATATTTCCCTGTACTTTCCAATTTTCTCTAATAGGATTGTATTCCTGTTATCACCCTAAAAGGTAGGTTTAAAATATATTCTCTCCCTATCATCAACACAGAAATGTGTTCCAGCCTTGCCTTCAGCTGTGTTGGGGTGAGGAGGGGGCAGGGAGCCCCAGGAGCAGTAATCCTCTAGCTTTTCTCCTGGTTGGGGCCGGCAGTTAACACAAGCGGGCCGAACACCAGAGCAACCCCCTGCCACGTCCCCTCCTCAGTAAGCAGGAGCGGGATCAGATTAGTGAGCAGCTCGGTCATTCTTCAGACCCACTCACTGGAGAAAAAGACCTCCTTGAGAGTCAAGCTGAACAGCCTGGGCTGCAGGGAGCAGGGGCCACTGAGGAACCAGAAAGAGGCCCAGAAACGCAGGGGCCCAGCAACTCTCGCAGCCCTCTTGGGAGGGGGGCGGAGAGCAAGCCCCGGGTTGGGCCCCAGGACAGGCCCGTCGCGGATGAGGCGCGAGGTGCGCACCCACCAGCTGAATGGAACTCAATGTGCGTGTCCCTCCCCGCATCGCCACCATCATTTCTTGCTGGGCCACTGCCACAGCCTCCTACCTGTTCTTCCTGCTTCCACTCTGCCCCTCACCAAGCCATTCTCGCCAGAGCGTTCACTCCGCTTTGCAAACAGAAATCCTATGATTGTCACTTCCCTGCTTAATACCTGGTGGCTTCCTTTTCTTTGCTCTTTGAAAAATATCCCAACCCCCCCCCACCCAAAGCCCGACTCAGCTCCTGCCGATCTCTCTGGGCTCAACTTCTTTCACCTCTCCTTCTCCCTCCCTTGACCCCAGCCAGGATTGCTTTGAGAAAAGTTTGTGGAATGAATAAATCATGGTCCCTGAAAGTCTTATATCTAAATAAACTTTCAAGTCCAGTAATGGTTTCAAATAACGATTATCATGCACAGTGCACCTTTTAATTTTGCATTTGGGGCATTTCCCAATATCCACACATCAAGTGCAAATTTCCTAACACTCAATAAACTCTACTAGCAAAATACATGCATGGTTTCTTTCATGCCCCAGGACTTTTGTACTAATCCCTTTGCCTGGAATGTTCTTTCCTGAGAACGCTTCCCTTAAATAGTCCGGTGTCCTCCTGCAGATCTCAGTTTAAACATCACCTCTTCTGGGAAGACTTCCACGATGCCCTCCTCCAGAAGAGGACAGATCTCCTTGTTGTAATCTCTCATAGGACTGGGTACCTCTTCAAAGCACTGGTCCCAGCGTTCATTTTACATTTCTCTGTGTGATTCTACCTATTTTCCATCTCCCTCCAGCCT